GAGGTTTGCACTGTGACGGCTTCATTAAATTAGTCAGCTCCATGGCAAATGGAAAAGTGCTCAGAGCTTCAGAGTTGGATAATCCGAGTTGGGCTGCCAGAGATTGTAGCCCTTGAGAGAGCTCAGATGACTGGCTCTGCGTGGCGGGGGCCAACGGGGTTCCACCTGCCACGTAGGACATCTGCACAGCTGCTAGATCTCCGTTAGTCACCGCCCCTCTCCCCCAAGCCTGCATGCCATATGCTGTCCCAGGTGCGGAAAGGATGGAGCGGTTAGGGTGGGATGGCTCAGTGGGTGGCACAGGCAAAACAGGGCATTTCTCTATGGATCACCTAAGAGGACCACAGATACAGGGTTAGCGTCTCTCCAGAGGCCAGGACTCTCATTGTTAGACGCTCATAGACACCCCTGGGATGCTTGCAGATGAAATACAAGGGCCCTCACCCGCCACACCCCCACCTCTGCCAGCCACACACTGAGTTTCTGAGAACAAATTCTCTCTAGCTGGGCTCCACTGCAGTATTAAAGATTTCCATTACTGATAGTTCCTTCCAGTTAGCATGCTCAGTATTAAACTCTGTCATTATGAAGTTAAATATGCATGATCCCCAAATCTATGTGTATTATAACAAGATTTTATTGTTATAAATTTGTCTTCTCTGTCTTCCATTCCTGCCTTGGCTGTCTTTTAAAAACTCAAACGTCTGATAACTAGCCAGGAGGTAATTAGGAAGTGGTGCTAAAGAATCACAGGCTTATTCTCTCACTCATTCATAGAAATTTATTGAGTGTCTACAATGAGATAAGGTTCCCCCCAGCCAGTGGTGACAGCTAATTACAGCACTAAGGAATTCTGGTCTGAGCCAACACAGGAAGCCCCCTGCCACATGTACACATAAATATTGGATAAGACAATTTGAAACCACAGCTGCATCTGAAAGAAAGGAGGGAGGGAGTCGAAATTCCAAAAATGCATGGGACTTCAGAGAGAGAAAGAGAGAGAGACAGAGACGTAGAGACACAGAGAGAGACAGACAGACAAACAGCATGGTGAGGGAAGTGTGGAGGGGAACCAAAGCAGAAGTGTGTCACTAAGGCTGGCCCAGGCAGAGACAGATAGGAGACCTACAGCCTCATGGGCAGCAGGGCTAGAAAAGGGTTGTCCACATGGCTTGGGTGAATGGCAACGGCAGGGTATCTAAAAAAGGCAATCTACAAACCATCAAAATCGAAGATTGTGCCAAGTAGAGAGCTGGGGTCCAGATTCTCATCTCTCAGCGTGAGAACCATTAACAGAAAAAAATCGGTTCATAAATTGGCTTGAAATCAAAGCAATCCAATGGGATTCTAGCAGAGGCGAGCTTCTACCTCCCGTGAGGCAGGCTTCGACAACCAGAGTATCTAGGATGCCCAGAGGAAAAACTCTCACTGAAGATGAGCTCACGGGAAATTATAAAGCACAAAGGGTAACAAGCTGCCAGGAAAGGCAGCCTCAGATGCAGTGTGCCACCAGGCTCCACCATCCATGCAGAGCCCAGATTTACCAAAACCTCCCATTTCTCCCCATCCATCACCACTACTCTGTCCCCAACTGCAAATGAGACACCAGCGTGTCTAAAAGCCCCTGCTGCTCTCTTTGCTCAGTTCATGGGAATAGACAGTCATGTCTCAATTAGAGGCGTGTTCCTCTTCCTCTTGGATGCCTCTTCTGTGGATGCTAAAGTTACTCGTATAAACTAGTCCCATGTTTACATACACTTCATGTGTGTGTGGGTGTATATGTGTAATATATGTGCATATGTATATGAAGGTTTTTGCACACATCCATGTGCAGAGGCCAGAGAAGGGCACCGGTGTCCTGCTCTATCACTCTATCTTATTCCCTTGAGAAAGGGCCTTACATGGAACCCAGAAAAGCTCTAGGAAGACTCCTGTCTCTACCCAAGATCCACAGAGCTACAGTTACAGTTGCACATGTTTCTTCCACACAATGCTGAGGATTTGAACTCAGGTCCTCATGCTTGCATAGCAAACATACCCCCCTGCCATGCCATTTACCCTGCTTCATATTTGTATCTAACTTATGCAATTTTCTTATATACTCTAAACCAGCTCTATGTTGCTTCAGAAATCTAGTATAGTATAAAGGGCATATGAAAGTCGTTTTATACTATATAGTTCAGGAAATAATGAAATAGGAAAAAATCCCATACAGGCTCACAACAGATACATTTTCCTATGTGGTTTTCCCATCTGTGGTTGATTAGGTCTACAAATGCAGAGTTTGTAGCCATGGAAGGCAAGCATTATACATACACAGTCACATATAACATACACCTACTAACTTTCTGATTAATATCCATTCCCCATTAATACACTCTGAAGGAAGCCCATATGAGGGATAGGGCTCCTGCTGGTCAAAGACTGCTGTCAGGGGAGGGTTCCAAGCATTGCCTGGAGTCTGAATCTTATGAGACCTTAAGATCCCCAGGAGAGCTTTCGTGATCTCGTAGAATGACTTCCTTTGACAAACGTTCAGTCATAGCTCCAGAATTCCTACTAAGTGAGCTGTTTGAGACTACTACAGTTTGGCATCCAAACCCAGCGGTAACATCTACGTGTCTGGCGATACCCACTCTGCTGCGTCTGTGCGGGCCGTGGCCGTCTCTGAGATTTCAGCCCTGTTTTGAATGTATGGGCATTCACCGTCGCTGCCCTGATTACTTTAAAATCACAACTCCCTTTATGTCTGCATCAGCCCGAGAACAGCGGAGACCACTTTAGCTACCTGACAGAGCTGGAGTGATTCCCATCTGCATCACCAATGGTTAGCCTCCCGTTTCCACTAATGAGGCCTTAAGGAACATACCCAGCAGGCAGTTCACAGCAGAGCCACCTGTCTTCCATTAGCAGTTACTTTGCACGCTCTTCAACGTGGCTCTTCATTGTCATTTCCAGGTTGTTTCACTGGTAAAAGGAATGTCAGTAGGAAGCTAAGTGCTAGTGGGTCTTTTTTTTTTTTTTTTCCTGCCATGAGAAAAGATGATAAGTAAGTGGTACTGGGGCATAAGTAAGTTAGTACCACTAGGGCTCCTCTCCCCAAGTCCCCTGGCTATGAGGGGGAAGCAAGCCCACCTCCATTCTGTAACTGCATGGCGATAGTCATACATAGTTAAACTCACTTTATCATGAACAAAGGATGGTCTGTCAACTACCTACTTACAAAAATGTCTACTGAGTATTTGGTGTATCTATCCCAGTACTGTGGCTAAAGAAGAGCAAGAAACACTTTTGCTGACACCAGAAAACTCAAAGACAGTCACAAATACATAGGTGACAAGTAGGCAAAGAAAACTCCAGGCTCCTCTTATTATCCTAGTACAGCAACTGCTTCACCTACTTGGGGGTCTGCTTTAGTCACTGGTAGCCATACCTTCTGTCTTTCCTCTCTGCAAAGCTGCTTGGTGAATACATAGCTTAAGGAGCCTTTGGTACCTCTTCTATTGATGAACAGTTCCGTTTCTACAGCCCCTCTTCTCCGGTGATACAATTGCATGCACACATACCAGGTCTGGACATGTCAACTCTTAAGTTTCCAAGGCTACGGCAGTCCGCATAGCAGATTGTATGTGAAGCTTGATAACCTCCCATCACCGAAGGGTTTCCTGGATGAAAGAGAATGGATACCTGCTAGGATCCAGCAATCACTGGGGTGGCTAGAACCTCCATCACAGCCTAGGAAGACTCCAGGAGGAGAAGGCCCACATGGGCCTTGGCTCCTGACCCATAAAGACTGTGAGACAGTGAATATGTGTTGCCTTGAACTTGTTGGGTTTAGGGTCATTTGTTGTGCAGCAGTAGCTACCAGACAGTTACTAACAGCTTACGGGTGCCTCTCTCATTGAAACCTTTACATACTGTGGCTTGTTTCTTCTCTTAAGTCCTAGTTACTAAGAATGGAGAACTACCCTAGTCAATCCCAGAAGACACCAGTACATGGGTTTCATTAGGGTATGACATTCCTATGCTAAAGGCTGCAGGCTATAAGTGTCTTTATGAACAGACTATGACAATATTTTAAACAAGCAGAGACATCCGAATTAGCCAAGGCGACTGAGCTCTATAGGAGATCTGCCAAATCAGGATCTCCTAGAGTCACCACCACTCATCTGGTCCCGTCGTGGAATGTAATAGGAAGTGGTAGGCTAAAAAAGTGCTTTGTGTTGTGTGTGTATGTGTATTGTGTGTGAGTGTGTATGTATGTGTGTATGTGTTTCTAAGTGCAGGTATAACATGTACATGTAAGTAGAGCTTAAAAGTCAATCTTAGGAATTTTTCCTCAAGTACTGTCCATCATGGGTTGTTTGCTTGTTTGTTTGTTTGTTTGTTTGTTTGTTTGTTTGTTTGTTTGGAGACAGGGTCTCTGACCAGCCTGGAACTTGCCAAGTAGACTAGGCTGGCTGGCTGACAGGCCCCAGTGATTCACCCAATTCTGCCCCTCTAGTTCTGGGATTACAAGAGTGTGTTTTTATGTAACTTTTGAGGCTCAACCTCATAGGCAAACACCTTGCCAAGTGTGCCCATCTCCCCAACTCTGAAGTATCTTAAAAATTATAACATTTACTTATTTTGTGTGTGATACTGAGTGAGGGCCTGTGTACCTCTTTCACTCTCTCTTTCTGTGTGTGTGTGTGTGTGTGTGTGTATGTATGTGCGTGCATGTACATGCGTGTGTAGGTCAGAGAGTCAGTTTTCTTCTTCCACTATGTGGGACTGAGAGATCAAACTCATCAGGCTAATGGCAAGCCCACTGAGCCGTCTTGCTAGTCTCCTGAAGCATCTTTTTAAGATTGCATATCTGGTTGGTGGTAACCTAAGGGTACAAGGTTCCTATTTTCCTGTCTTCTTCATCCATTCTACCCCAAGACACCCCACCCTCAGTGGGTAGCTCAGTTTTAGGCGCTGAGCTAACTGAAGAAGCAGCATGAGCTTATGGAAGGACAAGTTCCAATGTTAACTTTATTTGTTCTGAAAAGCATCTCCATTCTGCATCTTTCCAAGTAGTCCTCGCACAGTGACAAGGACAGCTTTCCTTTCTGGCCTCCAGAAAGAGCCTTGTTTTGTAAGAAAGGGTTCAACAAACACTTCTCATCGGATCTCCATCTCCAGGTTCCAATCAGAAAGTCTGGCCAGGACTGGACCTTCACAATATTGCACATGTGTGGGTGTTGCTGAGCCCTGCTGGTTTGCGACCTTTTCCTCCATCTTCCCTGAGACAGTTGCTCCTGTCCTGGGGGCCTTTGCTCTACCTCCAGTCGTGAGCATCGGGTGCAGTCATGGGCTGTTTACAGCCTGGGTTCCATTTTGGTTTGGTCCAGGGAAGCATCATCCTTGGTCCACAGCTGGATCTGCCCATGAGTCTCATGAGCTCACAATGTCCCAGTGCTGGCTCATAAGTGATGACTCACAAGGGTTGACAACCACCTCCTTGCCATCCTCGGTGCTGTCACCAAACATGTCTGTGTCCAGGCAGAGGTGGGATGCTATGTGCTCGATGCGGGCACCAGTCTTGGTCCATTGCTGAGGAGATAGAGGGGAGAGAGAATGAGCTGGCACAGGCATGGGTTCTATAGATAATATAAAGCACTCAGACATCACTGGAAGAATGACACCACACGTGGCCAGCCAGAGATTTCATGACCTCCTGAAGGAAGAAAAGCACCACTAATTGCATGACATGCATTAGGGTTTTATATTTTTATTGCATTTTAAATTTGTATTTATTTACTTGTTTGTGGGGGGGGGCTAGAACACAACTTGTCAGAGTTGGTTTTCTCTTTCCACCACATATAACTCCAAAGGTTAAACTCAAGTTGGCAGGCCTGGTTGCAAGTACCCTTACCCACTGAGCCATCTCCCCAGTCCTAGTCTTAAAACAATGAGTAAAAAGTTAAAGGTTAAAGCAATGTTAGGAAAACTCATCAGGAGTCAGTAATTTCCCAAGCAATAGAATAGAAAATGTGAACTGAGTTACTGAGTTAGACAGGAAGAGACAAAAAAAAAAAAAAAAAAAAAAATGGCTATAACTTCTTCTTTAGGAAGAAGTTGGAGAAAGAGGATATGGGTAGTGACAATGACAATGACAGCAGGAGATTTCTTCAGAGTCTGCTTGACTTCTTCAGGGAGCCCACAGAGAGGTGGGTCTCAGGAAGTGTCCCCTGACTCCCTTGCATGTGATAAGTATAGAGGATGGGCACATATGCTGAGGAGACACTGAGCTCTGCACTTCATAGAGACCATCAGGAATACTTATTCCCCATAGTGTCTTCCGGTGATATCAGCCCTCCCTTGGCGAAAGGGAAGGGGACATCCCATGCAGAGACAGTGATCTACCATTTGTTACACTCATTCTTGCGATGAGTAACTTGAACCTCAGTCTCTCACATGTGGGAACAGTGCTCATTCCTACCTAGTACATGCTGCTAGAGGAACAGTGTGTAGCCAGGACACGACTAACAAAGACCTTGTCTGAGATTACAGGTAGGTGATGGAGCAGTGACCAGAACATAACATGGTGAGCAAGCCTGGTAAGATTAGCTAAAGTCTGCAGGCTTCAGATATCCACTGGTCAATGGAACCAACATAGCTGTTCTTACTGACACCATTCAGGGAGTCCTGTCCCTGGCTCTGGCTAGAAGGGTTTCTCGCTTATTAGGCCATCGTCTTTCAATTCCTCCTCTACTTATACCCAGCCAGTCACATTAGGGAGGTTGACCACTCCCAATCCTACCCCTACCCCGGGTCTCCAGAGCACTCACCTGCCTTTCATCCCCATTCTTGCACAGAACAAGAACTACCGGGGCGCCGGGGAACAGGGTGACAACAGACAGGCACAGCTCTTCCTGGATGATCTGCTGGGTGTATGTGAAGGCCCACACCTGAGGAGACCAGGAAGATTCTCTTAGGAGTGGGATAGCCACCATCTCGGGGTACCACCATTCCTATGTGTGATGACCCATACAGCTGGATGAGAAGTTCCCAGAAAGTAATGATCATTCACAGGGTCACCTGGTAGAATTCTACTCAAAGGACAAAGGTTGGGTGTCCACACTGTCATAAAGTCTCTGTCCCCACACCCATGTTGAGTCCTGGGCCATAGGCATGCAGGTGGATGCTGGAAGTTGCATGATAATTCTGAGTCTGAGAAGCAACCTCAACAACACTGTAGCTGACCTGTTTGGTCTCTCAGTGTCTTCTTTGAGACAATGTCTCCACAGGAGTCTGCTCCTGACATTTAACACTCCCAACAGCTGCCTGACAGGCTACCCTCTGGCCCAGCTGTCTTTAGAATGCCCCTTCTTTGAAAGGATTCCGGGTCAGTGCCTTGAGAACATGAAAACTGTGGTAAGAGGTAGACAGGAGGGTAAAGAGAAAGAGAGTGCTCAAGGGAGGAGATGGAAAATGACTTAGGAGGGAAAGAAGGAAGTTATGAAAAGTAGCATTACTTAAGAGAGTGTTCTCAGTCTAACATGCAGTATAACAAAAGATTTGGCCCCTTGACTCCTGCAGGGGGAAAAGAAGAGAAACTAGTTCAGCATACCAAGTTCTGAAGGAAGGAAACAGGGGCATTTTGTGAGGACATTACAAGATAGCAAAGTGCCAGATTGCCTGATTAACAAGGTGAAGCAGTCTCAGGTTGGAAGAGGAAATGGCAAGTGCTGGTATAATGGCTGCCATAAAGACAAAGAGGATTTCTCTGAGTTTGTGAAAGAGGTGCTAACTGCCCCTTTCCTTCATCATGCAGCAAAGATGATTCATGATTAGAGTCTCCAGGGGAGGTTTCAGAGGGGACTCTGCCAAAGGATCCATTACATCCTATGTACACGAAGCAGCCCTCTGTCTTTGGACCAGGCCACTCAGGAGCTCCTTCTTGGCCCATGCTTATGGAGAGCAGACAATTTCCAGCTATATGGCCAAGTGTTCTTGAAGTCTTTCACCTGTATTGATACTCTCGTTTCAACTCCATAACATACTAGGGACACTATACTTTCTGGTTTGTCTTCTTCAGGCCCTGACATCCTCATGAGATAAGAGCATAAGCACAGGACGAGGCCTCATGAATGACACACCAGGCCCTGGAACACACATGGTGCTGGCTTCTAGGCTGTCTGCTCCATCTCGTCCCACCTCTAACCTGCATATTTGAGCACAGACATTTCCCAATTGGTCTCCTTTGACTCTAGATGTGTTTATTGGTGACACAATCCACTTGAGAGGCCAAAGCCAGGCATGACGTCCACCAGGGTCTTGAGACTGGACCTGGGCATTGGGCAGGTGACTCTAGTGCCTTAGGCATTAGGGGTGTGGTCTTGAAGGATAGTCTGTATTTGGAGCTGAGAATATTTCTCCTTGTAAGAAGGGGAAAGACCCAAGGGTCTGTATTTAAGGTCAGAGACGCAGGGAGCCATTTGTGGCTCCATAGACCACTGGCTTGAAATCTATTAGATTTTTATACTCCCTTGAAAATAAGGCTAAAGTCAGTGATGGGGGCAAAATGAGTTACTGTTATGTAGCCCACGGGGAGACACACATTAAAATTTCAAAAATAAATCCTGCCATTACCGTATGATCGCTAGGATACATGGGGTTATATTGTTTGTGTTAAACTAAGAGGTTAAACAGAGCAACTTAAAACACACCACAGTTTCTAAAAACAGGTCTTGTCAGTCTTTTCTTTTTAAAACTCTAGTGACCTAGAAGTGGTAGGAATAGGCTCTTTTGACATCTGAGGCTCCACATTCAGAAATGGCCCTTGAGAAGGGTACACCCAGCTATACCACAGCACATCTGGGCCAGTGTGTGAAAAAGCCACTCCAAGGGTCCACAAGAGGGACATGTGAACAGGCAGCTACCATAAAATCCTTATACTAGAAGTCTAGAGAGATGGTGCTGTGCTTGCTGCTCTTACACACACACACACACACACACACACACACACACACACACAGGAATGTGCATGCACACATGTATGCATGCACACACTCCTTACACATGTTTAGTAAATGAACCCTGAGCCAGAAATGAACCCTAAGAAGGCAGTCATTGAGGGAAGGGCTGGAGGTCCAGCTAAGTGTCAGAGTGTTTGCCTCGTAAGCAAGACCCTGAGTTTAGTCCGCAGCTCCAGAAAACAAACGAATGAAAAGGTGGCCACAGTGGGGGCGCTCAGCCAGATCTGTCCTCCAGTAAGGATTGTAGGACTCTTCATTGATGCTCCAGTTAGAGCCTCTCGAAAGTGCTGTCTGTGATGGATGTCTCTCTCTGCCCACAGGGAAGTTAACCCAGAGGCCGATCTAGAGGCTTTTCCCTGTGGGGATGGGCTGGGGAGGGAAGTTCACCCCCAGGCCTTGGAGTCCTTTGCTAGCTTGTTAGAATGGGGAAATAGGCTGCTGTTCTCAGGGGACATGTTCCCTGACCCAGCCGGAACAGAGAGAGAAGCAGCAGGAAGAGCAGCCTTCCCTCTCAGGCAAACATCCTGTGAGAGATGGGGTGCAAAGGGGCCACAGGAGTACCTAGTCTGGCCTGGGTCTTACTGTTTTGAGCTGGATGCAAAATTAGGGAGCTAAGATTTTCTTCTGATGCAGTAAGAGCTAAGAGAGGCAGGGGTGAGAGTGAAGCTAGGCAGAGGTGCTGATCTTGGAATGGCCCAGGGCCCCAACCTCTGACAGACAGGAAATCTTTAGCCTAGAGCAAGGAGACTGTGCTCTGTCCCCACCGGAAATAGCTGGCACTGTCTGGAGACATTGTTGGATTATTAAGATGAGGGTCTATGGGCATGTGCTGAGGGGGGCGGGGGCACCTGCTAAACATCCTGCAAGGTACAGGACGGTTTCCACAACAACAAATGATCCAGTCCTAAAGACAATCTTGCCAATGCTCTCATGAGATATAGTGTGGGCCTGCGCCTAAACTCTTAGATATCATCCAGTCTTTCAAGTGGGGGTGATAACAGGATATGGGCCATCTGAGGAGCTGGTATAAGGGGGAGACAAGAGAGCACGCTTGCAGAGCGCTAGCCTGGAGCCTGGCTCTGGCTCAGTGTGTGAGCTCCAAGAGGGGGTGTATCCTCATGTTGAGTGTGGAGTGAGGTGGGTCAAACAAACCCTGGAAGGAAAGTGAGGTGACTGCCTTATCATTAAGCAGGAGCCTTCTGCTCCACAGATCGGGAGCCTAAATACTGGCCGGGCAGGGGAAGAATGCACTACAAAATGTCTTGCATTTTCTTCACTTTAGTTTGGAATAGAAACTAGGAGCTGGTATCATTTACTGATAAGGGTGAGCTCCCTATTTCTGAATGTCTTCTTGGAGGGAATATTAAATGAAGGAGAAAACAGCAAGGCTACCGGTATTGTAGGTTTTACTGAAGTTAGAGCCATTGGAGAAGAGCCTGACTGGTTCTAGCCACTTCGTGGTCTGTTTATTTAGGTCCAGTTTCCTGGAAGTGAGACTCAAAGAGGCCGATGGTTACTCTGAATGATATCATCAGGAGCAGGTTGCAGGCTTGCTCTGCACACAGGCTCTCCTCCGATGACATGGGACCAAGCAGTGGACATTAGTGTGAGCAGCTGTCTCCTAACCTTGTAGGCCATGTGGGAAAACCCATTAGCCCTTGAAGACCCACAGACATGCCCTTGAAGGGTTCCTTTTAAACAAATGCCAGGAACAAATGAGCTGGGTCCAACAAAACCTCTAACTCAGTACAAAGATCGCCAAGGGATTAGCCTTAGGGGTCAGCACTGGGTGTTATATAAGCACAAATGGCTGACTGGCGATCTCTCTTCCTTGGTTGCACAGGCACAGACCTCAGCTCCACCCTGGAGATAGCGCCCAGCCCAGAGGCAGCAGGGTAGCTACCATAATACCAGATTGACATATTCTTTAGGACCTTCACTGGACTCAAGCTTAAGGTCATTCCGTTTTATTTCCGCTCCACCTTCTCCTAAATTTTTAGAATAACTTGTATGTAGAATTAAAGCCCTATATTCACTTTTTTGTGTGTGTCACAGGGTTGGGCTCTTAGGTAACTACTATGGCTGGGATCCCTGCTCACCAGCTTAATAACTTTGTGGACTCTTGGTGGGTTACTACTGTAACCTCAGCTATGATATAAAGAGACTGCTGGTTCTCAACTGTCCCAGTGCTGTGACCCTTTTAAACAGTTCCTCAAGTTGTGGTGACCTTCCTCCCCAACCATAAAATTATTTTTGTTGCTACTTCAGAAGTGTAATTTTGCTGCTCTTATAAATCATAATATACATATCTGATATGCGGAATCATGTGCATATATAAATCATAATGTACATATCTGATATGCAGGATTGTGTGCATATATAAATCATAATGTACATATCTGATATGCAGGATAGTCTTAGGCCACTCCCATGTAGGAGTTGCGCCCCACAGGTTGAGAACCCCTGCTCTGGTGAGAGGGCCACTGCCTAGAATATATGGTTTAATACGTGCATATTTAGAATCTTGCTTTACATTTAACAAAGGCTTGTTTCCGTCTCTGACGGTGATACCAGTGACACACAGACCAAGGCAAGAGGATAAAAGAGAAATGTCCCTTTAGACTTTCCTTTGGAAACTGTCCCAGAGACAGGCTGGCAGGATGCTTTTGAGACGCTGTTCCCAGGCTGTGATGAGGAAGTCTGAGGAAGAGGGGGCAGGAGGCGATCGCCTGGCAGCTTGTTCCACTGCAGACTTGAGATCTCTACCCTGGAGGTGTCCGTGTGCCTGCTGATCTGTGGAGCACTTTCAATCACATCCGCCCTTGGGCCTCCCAGCTGCTGCCTTCTGCTCCACAGATTGGAAACCTAAACAGTGGCTGGGCTAGGGAAGAATGCACTACAAAATGTCTTGTGTTTCCCTCACTTTAGTTTGGAATAGAAACTAGAGTGGAGCATCTGTCTGCTTTCTGCCTTTCATGGATATTTTCCCAGGGAATTCAGTGAAGTTAAGAGGAAACGTATTAGCCTAGAGACTTCTTGGGCTTCAAAGGCTTTTGAATGCATGATGTATGCTTCTTACATTACTCCAGGGCATCAGTTTGCCAGCATCTTTGAAACACTTGAATTTAGCATTTTGCTCTAAAGGATGACAAGGCAGCAAGAAGGAAGGTGAGGCAGGGCATGGAAGAGGAACAATGATTAGAACTACAGGATTAAATAGCCTCCACGCTGAGCATGTAGCCTGGTTGGAGAGTGCTTACTTAGCATCCATAAGGCTCTGGGGTTTGATCTCTAGCTCTGCCAACCAAATCAAACCAAACTAAAAGGAGCATTGATACAGGCGGGAGAGCATCCCATTGCCTGGGGTTTACCTACCGGTGAGTGAAATGTCAGCTAGCAACAGAACTTGGACCTTCCTGTGCCACTCTCCATAATCCTCGAACACCCACCCCATGGCTCCAACCTGATTTCAGGACCTGTGTTGATCCGATGCCTGGGTTTGTCCTCTAAGGGTAGGCTGTGTCTCTGGTATGCATACATGTGCTTTCAGAAGGAAGTGATTCTACTTGAACACGAAAGCTCAGAGTTTGCCACATAGGACAGAGGCAGAAATGGGAGCCAGGCAGGCCAGTATAACATGTGTCCCTGGAGTCTGGCATGGTATTTGTGGAGCAGAGACTCCCATTTACACTCCTAACCAACACCCCCCCCCCATAAATGTAAAGGAGGTTGCTATTCTCAACTGACTCCAGGCCCTCTTACAGAGGCATGAATTTTGTTTTTGGAATTTTCACTGGAAACTGGATGTAACAAAGAACCCCTTGCCAGCTTCCTCCTGTCAAGATGGAGCTGGCCAATGGTTTTAATATTTATAGCCTTAAAGAGGCACGTCACAGACAGGTGTCTTCTCCCGTGACTAAACATCTAATCAAGCTCAGGGACCATGACCGGAACAAGTGCCGGAGAGCTACTGGAAAGAGCTGGCGGTCACCACAAGTGTCTGACACTCTTTAACCTCTGGGAGCCTTGGTGGCATCAGCTGTGAAGTAGGTAAGGTTAAAAGTAATACCTACTTCGTCTGGCTCTTGTACCACTTCCTTGCTATGGCTTTCAGTGGCTGAAGAGGTAGGTGCAGGGAGAGAGGCTGAAGGGGTCTGAGGGCAGATTTACACCCTCAGGATGGAGCAAGAATCATGGTGCTTAGCAAAGATGTAGGTAAGAAGGGGCAGAACCATGTTAAGTGGAAAGGACCCCACTAATGCTTAATGTTTGCAGAAAGGGTTGAGATGAAGGACGACAACAATTGAGTTGATGAGGATTAAGACCCCAGTAAGAAGAAAAAGGTCACAAGTCAGTCCAATGAAGATGTATAACACACATCTCATGGAGATTATGCTAGCTGAAATGGTTATGTGGATTTCCTTCTGAGTATCTGAAAATGAAGCCTGGTCCTGCTGCTAGGCTGTGCATCCTTGGAGATTGGGGCTGTGTCTAATTCTGAATGAGCCTACCTTGTCTCCCGAGCAGATAATGTGGTACCCAAGATGCTATATGGCCCAGTTTGCTGAGGTTAACTGAACCTCTTTACATCTCCCGGTGATCTAGCATCTGAGAGTCACACAAACTGGCCATTATCTCAAAGCAAAGCAGAGCCATAGCCTACCACTGCCTCAAGGAGAGAACCCTATGTACCTCCAGGCCTTTCTTCCATGGCTTCAAGTACCTGCTATTGTTTGTATTTTTCTGGCCCCAGGGAGGTCAGCTGAAAGGGCAGCTGAGATGGGCCATTCTCCTCCAGGAAACAGCACTCTGCTACCTCTCCTAAAACCAGGTATTAAAGGACCCTCTCTGAGGGCCAGAGCGTTGGTGTCCTCTCCGCCCTCACCTCCTTATGCAAGCAAAGTTGGCAAGTTCCAGAAAAGCTCTGCTCTGCTGGGAATAGACCAAGCAAATTCTGTCCTAGGAAAGGGGCCAGACTACATTGTGACTGATGGAATTCCCATGAGCAGCACCCACACTCAGACTCACAGAGAGACGTGTCACCTACTTACAATGCCTTACAAAGTACCACTTGAGCAAACTGTGTCATCGTCAGCTGGGCAGCCACACCTAAAGTAAAACTGACACCTCCATTTCCTTTCCCTTCTAGTCTAATCTAGCTCCCACACTACCACCCCTGTCTTTTTTGGAGCAGGAACTGCTTCTGGCAAAGTAATTTGAAGCTAGAGCTAGGTTTGAAAGTTTAGACATGTGTGGTGAACAATGGAGAGCCACCAAAGGCTGTGCTAAAGTTAGGATGATGGGTTAGAGACCACACAAAAAATCAGGATGAGGGTCATTGGATGGGGACAGGGCAGGGGGAGGACCTAGAGGCTGTAACCATAATCTGGCATAAGGTTCTTAACAGGAACATTTTTTTAAAAATGTATTCATTTTACATTTTTAATCATAGCCCCCTCACTCCTCTCCTGCCGGTCCCACTCTCCCTCCCTCTTTCCAATCCCCTTCATCCTCTCCTCCTAAGAGGGGATACACCCTCCCCAACCCATCCCAGCATATCAAGTCAAATCAGGACTAAGCATATCCTCTTCTACTGTGGCAGAGCAAGGCAGCCCTGCCTGGGGAAAGTGATTTAAACACCTGCAAAAGTCCTTGTCAGAGACAGCCTCCACTCCCTTTACTAGGGGACCCATTCGAAGAACAAGCTGCCCATTGGCTACATATGTATAGAGGATCTGGGTCCAGTCCATGCACGGTCCTTGGCTGGTGCTTCAGTCTCCAATCAACAGAGACATTTTAAAAGACTGATCCAGCTCCAAAAGTCAACAGAGCTGGGTTTGGGGAATGCAGATATACAAAGAACAAGTGAGTGTATGGCATGATAAAAGTTTTTCTAGGAAGAACATAGTGGGCTGCAGACACAAGGGCTGTAGGAGAAAGAGGAGCCAAGACACTAGTGAGAACTGGAACCAAGGCACCAGGACAAAGGGTGACATGTGTAGAGAGCTTGTGCAATACGAGGCCACTTGGGTGCCCGTGGCCATCTGTGGAGTTAAACCATTGACGCTCTCAGTTGCCCGGCCTTTGAGCAATAGTCCAGGTGGGAGTTCTTACCCGTGAACCTCCTGTTCCTGGAGTGCTCTACTGGGACCCTACCGAGGTGTGATACCTGAACAAAACACAACTTTCTCAGAAAGACAGAGATAGTAATTCAGCTCCTGCTTCTCATCAACCTCATCACAAGGCTGAGAGGGGAGTCACGTGATGGTTGTGCTTGGCCAAATGCTATGGAGGTTGAGACAGGTGGTGAATTAGCCAGTGACCTTGAAAACAGCAGGCCTAGTCTCAGAAGGGAGAATGTTGGCAAAACCAGAGCTCAAACAGGATGTACTCTGTTGACAAACTAAGCAAGGCACAAGGGAAGCTTCCTTGGAGAGTACCCCCAAACAATCCATAGATGTAGGGGAAACAGGAGGGAAACAGAAGTGGGTGGTAGTGGTTTTACTGAGTCTGATATGGTTGCCTGGAAGTCAGCTGTGAGACACCATTCGGGCATCTTGTCTCAATGTCTAGCAGCAGGCTTCTTTTCCCCTTTGCATGCCACATTTGCAGAGTTAGCTTGTGTGATCTCCTCTGCCTGAACCAGCCCGTGTCTATTGTAGGAGACAGCTGCCAATCTCTTTGAGCTCCTGTGAAATTACTGGGGCATTTGCTATTGGCAGGTGCCACTTGGAAATCATCTCTCAGAGGAATTCCACATATTTGGTAACTAAGTAGAGAAAAGCCAGTGGTCAAGTAAGATGGATCCTTCTGCTCCATTCTGGACCCCTGGTGTCATGCCGAAGCAGGGACCAAGACTAATCTGGACATCTCTGCTCACTGTGGTATGCAGTGCTATGACTCTAGACAGTTACTTTACCTGAGACTTTGCTCCATCTCCTTTGACCTTGCTGCAGGGGCTTAGCCTGAGGTGTGGAGCCTCTTGGTTTTTCTGCTTTTGAGACTCAAGGCATTTCTGCCTTTGCCGGATATTGCCCTTCTGGATGGAGGAGTCTGGGGGTACCCTGTGGGAAAGCCATGAGGACAGATGAGAACACACAGCTTTTGACATCAGTGCTGCTAACTGCTGGGCAGGTTAGGAGTGTGTTTTGAGACGGCAGAGGGCCGTCTTCCCTGGAGCTGTTACAGAGGTTGGCACTGGTCAGAGGATGAAAGGATGCTGCTAGTGTGATGCAGCAAGGGACTCTCAGTAGCCACGTGACAGATGGATCTCTAGGACAGAGTCTGTGTCACCAATCCTATGCTCTCAGCACAACCCAAGGTACCACTCCCAATAATTGAGAAATCCTGCCAACAGCTAACCCCAGTCTCTCATGCTACTAGGTTCAGCGTAATTCTCCTCCTGGTTTTAGGGATAAGCAGGACCGATTGGTTTGCTCCCCTCTAGTTGGCCATAGGTCATATTTCTCCCAGCCAAGAAGCTCTTCTCATAGCTAACTTTGGTTCCAGCAGGTAGGTGTACCTGAGTTCTGGGTAGACAGTCTCCAGGTACCACTTGAAGGTCTGGCAGTGGAGATTCTTCCTCAGGTTCAGCCTGTTCTCAATGCTGGGGTGGTGAGGTTGGAGGGTGGGACACAGAGACAGAACAGAGCTGTCAGAGGCAATGATCTACAACAGTGGCTCCCCAAACCAGTGACACGCCCTGCACCCACACATCTCCAGGGGATGCTGAACAAATGAACCAAGCAGAAATTTCTCTTGTTCCAGGCAGACCTATGAAAACACCTGGCTTTGCCTCTCAGTGGTACAGTACTGATACCAAGGGCTTGTGCTTTTATTTGAAGATGGAATTGGGGGTGGTGTTTTTCACTTTCATTAAAAGTCAAGCTGTGAGAACCTTGAGTGTGAAGTTAAGCATTCACAGCTGAGACTCTGGCCTGCTCTTACTCACATTCCCTCTAGGGCTGGGGTACCACACCACTCCAGCCTCAGAGCATCCTCTTCTCAAGATGGTGCTAGGGTCTCATCACACATCTGTTCATCAGATATTCACTGAACATCTCTATTTGACAGGCATGGCATTCAGTGTGGGGCATGAAAGCTTCTGCATAGTAGCACAAGATACTGATTCAAGTGCCACAGGCCATGTGTCCCTGCAGACAGGGCATCAAGACACTTTGGAGGTACGTGCTTGCTTGATGAGTCCATGGTATTCAAGAGAGAAGTGAGTATTGACGCTGGTAGGTGAGAGGAAGGATGAGGCAGGCGTCCTGCTATAGGTGAGGCAGAGATCAGGGCTGTGAACAAGTCAGACAGTCCTCCCGCAGGAACAACTGGCCAAGGGCCTTAAAACAGAGGTGCAGGTGAATGGGGGAAGTGAGCCCACAAAGATCCACACTGGGGCACTGCTGAAGGGTGCTGGCTCTATCTCATGGGCACTGGGTGGACTTGGTGGGGGCCTCTGTAGAGTATAGCATGGAGATGCTTTGAGGAATTCTTACAGCTGCTTCCGGAATGGGCCAGTTGGAGTGAAGTGGGGACAGGGGCAGGGAGGAGGTAACTGTACAATCCCAGGTGCCGTTATTCTCCTTTTAGTGAACTGGGTGGAGATGGGCATGGTCGGTCCTCTGCTTGTTTTCATTTTCTTCTACCTAAGTACTAGCCAAACCTTGTCCTCTCTAGGAAGCAACAAAACTAGCCCTGCCTTCTGTCTAGCCTCACTTCCTCCCACCCTTTTCTCTCTCCATGACATCACCCAAACTACTTTTCTTCCTCCTCTTCCTCCTCTTCCTCCCTATTTCCCTTCTTGTGCTGGGACTCAAGCCCAGGGTCTCATGTACATTAGCCAACTGCTCTATCACTGAGCTATACCCACCTGCCTCATAGCAGGTGGGTATCTTCTTACAGACACAAAGCACACTTCCTCATCAGACCTTCCAGCTCCATGTGCACAAAGATACCATGCTTTTAGCATTCCTGATACTCTGTTCAGAAAGAGCCGGGGATCTCAGTGTTTGAGTAAGGCAGCAGCAATAGGACATAGTAATCACTCAAACACAGCAAGGAAGGGGAAACAGGGTGGAACCCAGATTTGTGACTTGGCTCGTATGGTATAAGAAAGACAGTTCATGGGGTTGGACAGGGATATGGAAAGAGGGACAGATTCGGTAACAAACAGAATGAGTTTAGCTTAGGACTTGTTACATTGGAAGTGTCTGGGAGAGATCCAGGTAGAAGTGGCCATCTGATACTTGGGCAGAAGAAACTGCAGCCCAGGGAAGAGTTCCAGTTAGAAACAGAGTTGTGAATAGATGTATGTGGCAATGCCGCCGGGGAGAATGCCTCGTAAAAAGAAGACTTACGACAGAGCCTCAGAGAAACACCAGCCTGCCAAGAGTGGGAAGAAGAAACTGAGCAGCATGTAATCATGCTGGGAAAGATAGGACCTAGGAGCAGCAGAAAAGAAGATGGGAAGCCTAGGGGACAGAGGCATGCCAGAAAGGACTGGGTTGGATAAGATAATGCTGAAGGGCAGCATAGGAGGAAGGTAAGGAGTGATGGAGTCCAGACTAAGCCCAGTGGGAACAGCTGTAGGGAATTAAAGGGAATCTGTTACTTCATGAGGCTGGGTCCTGGGCAGGCAGGAGACAGGCATACAGGTAGTGTGCAATGTCACCCTAAAGAAAGGTTTTATAGTAAATTTCCTTTCACCCCTCCCTTTTAAGTCAAGGAGTAGATGTGAACATAGACAGGAATGATGCGGGAGAGGTGAACTGAGATGGTCTGGTCCTGGGCATATAGCCCTATCTGCAATGCTGGACACTACTAATTTGGAAGTCAAAAATCCCAGTCCTCTAAAGGATGAGCCCAGGCAGTCAGGGGCTTTGGAGATCCATGGGTAATTCCACTGTCAGGTTAGTTTGGGAACCACTCCACAAAAACTCATTCCTCAGATTAGGATCCTCCGCCAGCAGCACAGTGACACGGGGGAGCTTATTAGAAACACAGACCTCAGGAATCAGATTCCATGTTTTAACATGCTCCCTGGGAGATCCGTGTGCTCATTAAAGTCTGAGAGGCCCTGCACCAGCAGGCAGGCAGGAGATGAATGCAGACTGTGGGGATGTGATAAATGTTGATTTATGAATGAATGCAGGCATGAATAGTGTAGCCAGAGGAGGCCTGGTTTGCTGATACAGGAAGTGCCCCTGTCCACAGGGACAAAAAGAGACCGGGAAGGATGGTAGAGTTGTGTCCAGGCTACTGGGTTGCTTTGTCTTGGAAAATCAATATTGTCTATTTCATCCATAAAAATAAGTGTCATCTGTGCAAGAGAAAAGAGGTGGTGGACTCAGGGGCGGGGAGAGAGTGAAGAAGGTTTAATAAAAACAGTAGGTTTAAACTCTTAAGAAAAGAGAGCAAGGCTAGGTCTCTTGTGAACGCACTGGCTACATGGCCATGAAGTATCCTCAGTAGGAGCATCTGAAATTCCATGAGACTGTCCAGTGGCCTGTGCACAGGGGAGGGAGAGATTTTACAAAAGCCTTGTATGCATTCATGCACATGCTCACACGTGTGTGTGTGTGTGTGTGTGTGTGTGTGTGTGTGTGTGTGTGTGTG